AACGAGAGTGGACACATTGTCTTGTTCTTTACCTTAGAAGGAGAGCATTTAGTCTTTCACTCTTGAGTATGATATTAACTGTAGGTTTTCTCATAGATGTCTTTTATTGGGTGGAGCAATTTCCCCTTTATTTCTAGTTTGCTGAGAGTTTTTATAATGAATGAATGTTGGGTATTATCCAATGCTTTTTCTACATATATTGAAATGACCATATGTTTTTTCATTTTTTAGTCTATCAATATGATAAATTATATTGATTGAGTTTTTTGGAATTGATTATATATAGATTCTATTTGCTTAATTTCTAAGAATTTCTACATCTAAATTCATGAGGAATGTTGGTTATAGTTTCTCACTTTAATAATGTGACTGTTTTTCTGGCTCATGCCCCTTGATTAATCTCTAATATAAAAGCTATTAAATAACTTATGTAACTTGGGAAAAATAACATCAGGGGCATATCTGAAGAATGAAAGCAATAAAATATATTTAGTAGGGTTCTTGAGAGAGAAAAAATATGACAAAGTTGGACAAGAAAGTTTACATTTTTTTTGCCAAGTTTTCTAAATGTTGCATTGTCCTTATTCCTGCAGATAGATTAAATATTCCAGAAGGAAGAAAAAGAAAGTTTCTTATTGAAAAAAAATAAAGAAAAGGAAACAAGATAAAATTCTTTTTTGTTAGTGGGAATTTAAGAGGAAGGGATGGGGAAACAGAGGTGTGAAGTCAGGCACACTTCATGAGGGTCCCTCCCCACCGCCACCCCATTTTTTATGGGGAAGGGGAAGGACATAAACTTCTACCAAGCCCTATGGGCTAGGCCCTGTGCTAATGCTTTTGCATATGTCTCATATAATGGTATCGGATGGGGAAGATATTTTTGGAAGAACAGAAGAACCCAGTGTTGATTTCCAGCATATTCCAAATTGCTCATATGGACAGAATTTTGAAGGTAAGATTATTTTATGTGCTTAACCTAAGGGTACATTTTGAGCCACTGACAAACTGGTGTCCAGAAAAGTGTTATCTGAGCAGTGAAGAGACCCAACACTAGGTCACCAAAAGATGTATTTACAATTACCCTGAAGAAGAGAAAATTAATGGGGATGGAGGTGGGGGTAGATAATAGTCTTCAAAAATAAAAGAGCTTTCTCTTTTTATTTGGAAAAAGAAACACACTTTTTAGTATGTGGTTTCAGATGGCAGAGATATGATCAATGGAGGGAATTATGGAGAGTGGGATTTCAGCTCAACCACTGATCCAGGCTGTCTGGAGTGGGGTGCATGTGTTTCTCAAGGACCTGGTGTCCCAGAATAGCAAGGGTGGTGGAGACGTACCATTGCCCATCTGGGATACCAGCAGGGAATACAATTCCTGGGTTATGTGGGAGAGGGAGCTAAAAGTCTGACAGTCACAGTCCATTTCCTCTTGAAGAACCTATGAATTAGCTGTGTCTGCCTCCTCTTTCCACACAGGCAGAGTATGAATAGAGAATGGAGGACATGGGTGTGTGTGTGTGTGTGTGTGTGTGTGTGTGTGTGTGTGTGAATGCAATCACCTAGGAGGCACTCTCACAATCATTATGTATGATGCATCACAACAGCTGGTAGTGGACTTGGCAGGGGGTGACAATCATTTGAATGTTAGTCTTGATGAACTAGTTCTGAATTTCCTCTGGGATCAGTGAGCCTTTGAACCTGCCTGTCTCCTGGGTTTGGGGGAGTTTCTCTGGTTGTGGGGTTATCCTGTTGCCATGTGGGGGCCCTCAAAGATATGAAACAGTATCAATGGTGGTTAAGAGCTAGGACTATGGAGCCACACATAACAAGGGTTGTATTCTGGTTTGGTCACATTACTAGCCATATGACCTTGAGTAAATTGTCTAACCTTTTTTTTTTTTTTTTTTTTGGTACTGTGTTTTCCTTATCTGTAAAATGAGACTGACAAAACACTTTAAGAGCTGTTGCGGGAATTAAATGAGATAACAGATAAAAAGCATTTGGGAGAGCTCCTGGTACTTGGTAAACACTTAGAAAGAGGTTATCGTTCAGCCTGACTCTGTGTGCAGCACACTGAGCTGGGCAAGGGCTGCAATCACTTTTAGTGGCAATTACCTTGATCATTTATTTGATTTACTCTCGTGCAAGAATGTGAGCTCTAAGAGAGCAGGAGCATTGCTGGTTTATTCACTGTTTTATTTCCAGTAGTTTGCATGCTGCCCAGCACATCTTAGAGGCTCACAAATGGAAATAGCTGCATCTCGTTCCCCTCCAGGCCCAAGGAGTCTCTCTCGGCGTTGGCAGGGACAGGTTCCTGCAAACAGCTCATAAGCAGAGATCAGGGTATGGCCCAGCCTCCTCTTTACACAACTTTGAATGTCTATCAGACCAAAATCAAGGGCTAACATGGACTTACCAATGAGATAGGTCTTAATTTGTCACTACCCTTCCCATTTTATGGGTGAGAAATTGAGTCAAGGAGATGAAGTAACAGCTCAGGGTGAGACAGCCACAGCCCATGAATGATAATGTCATAAATCCAGGTCTGTGGACTATAAAGACCCTCTTCTTTCCGCAAGGCCACTGGTATACTAATTTCAGGCAGGCAAGCAATAGTTATTATCTTTTTCTGAGAGAGAGAGAATTGCTCTTTATGATTGTACACATTAAGCTAAATCTGGTGCTAATAGTAAAAATAGCTGAACTGCTTCAGAGCGACTGGAGGGCTGGGTCAGATGGGATGGTACAGCTCCGGCTCCAGCTCCATCCCTTCTCCCTTCACTGGAAGTCCGTCCCTCCCTTCCCTCTGGTCCCTCCCTGCATGGCAGCAATCTGCGTCAGAAGTCCACTGGAAATACAGAGTCCCGGGCCCTGTTCCGGATCTGCTGACTGTATCTCTGGGATGAGGCCAAGGGCCGTCTTCCGGGGAATATTAGTTACTGAAGCTTGAACCACCACCCTGGGTTCACATCCCCCCTCCCTCTGGGCCTCTCTGACCCTCCATCAGTCTGAAACCCAGGCAGCTTCTGCTTCGTGCTCTTTGCTGCCACAGTTCTGCACAGGAGGCAGCCAAGGCCAGACCAGCCCTTTGGAAGAGCCTGGGGCCTTACAGCTGGAGGCTGGAAAGCCCCGAAGTGTGGGGAAGGCCTTGCTCAAGACATCAGGGGAGAGCTTTTTATTTTAATTTCTTTTATTATTATTACTTTTTAAAAATCCTCATCCGAGGACATGCTTGCTTTTATCCTCAGATGGGGGAGAGAAAAACATCGATGTGAGAGAGACACATGGAGTGGCTGCCACCCACACGACCCCGATTGGATCCAGGGACAAACTGCAACCAAGACAGGTGCCCTTAGCAGGAACCGAACCCGGGACTCTCTGGTCCACGGGCCGACACTCTAACCGCTGAGCCAAACCAGCCAGGGCGAACTTTTAATTTTTTATTTGGTGGTCTCAAGTTCCTCTGGCTTAACTAAGCCAGCCCACAGAAGATGGACATCCACAGAGACCCAGATCCCAGTAGATCACTGGGGCAGGAGACAAAGGAATTTCTTGTGCTCCTGCGATGGGAAGGGCAGGAAGGGAGTTAGCAAGGTGGTGGGAGGCTGAGCACTCGTGAAGTCCCCTGGGGAGGAAGAGTTCCTGAAGCTGGGACAAGAAGTGGGGGAGGGAGAGCACCTGAAGAGGACAGAGGCGGGTCTAAAAAGATGGTCAGGGGTTTGCTGAGCAGTGTGTGAGGTGACCTTTCCTGGGCTCCCCCAGTTGTCCAGTAAATTCTATTAACCCCCCCGAGTCTCTGGTGTGAGTGGTTTTGTTGTGGAAACTGAAGAAGGGTGGGAGGGTCCAGCAGGTCGGGGCGAGGCAGGCTGCACTCAGCAACCTGGGATCCAGGGTCTGGAGGAGCAAAGAGCACCGAGCCGGAAATGGCTCCCCAGGGAACACGTTCCAGCCAGAGTTCCAGGCTCTGGGCTGCTGCAGCCGCTGAGCTGGGGAGTCAGGCAGATGTTCCCTAACCTGGGGGTGGGCCGGCAGGCCGCCAGCCAACCACTCTCCACCCGAAACTGGAAAGTGAGAAGACAAAAGGAAAACGCGGTTTGGCTTTATAAATACGACACTAATTACAGCTGGATACTAATTGCAGCTGGCCGTACGGACTGCCTCCACCAAAGCGGCCTGCTCACGGGGCGGTGTCATGACAGTCACAATCGCAAGCTCTGCCCTCCGGCTGGCTTATCTGCCTCCATGAGGCCTGCTTCCTCGTGTCTTTCTTGCTTTGAGAGCCTGGTTGTCTATGGCTAATACAGGGGCTCTAGTTACAACTTGGAAAAAGGAAAGTATGGGCACAGCACTCAGCGTTTGAGTAATTCTCTCCTCTGAGAGGTGGCTTACCGCGTGCTGGCTCAAATGTCAGTATTGTCTCGTTTGGGGGCTCAGCCAAAAAGAATGTGGGTTCTATTAACACACATCTATTTGCCCTTTCTCTGTAAGAGTCCTATGAAGTGTCCTTCACCAAAGCAAGTAGATCCCGGTGCACCTCTAAAACAGATCTTGAATAATCTTCCCCAGCCCATGTTACCACTCACCCGAAGTCCACACTTCAGAGAAGAGGCTAAAATACGGAAATGGCTCCCCAGGGAACACGTACCAGAGACGGGGATGGAAAGGCACTTCAGCCGTTCTCCCTAAAGATCAGCTTGGAAGTGAAAGACACCAGCTCATGAATTCAGGGAGGCTGCTTCTGAGAAGGTGCCTCCAACCATCTTCCATGCTCTTCTTCAAGGCCTATTATGTGCTCGGCTCTGGCCTAGGTGCCCTGATGGCAGAGTGGGGGGTGGAGAGCAACACAAAATACATGACTCACAAAACCTTGTTTCCATCCTTATGGAGGTGATGGCCTGGCTGGGTGAGGGGTCACAGATTCATTAATGGGCCCACATCAAAGGAGAGGGAGCAGGAGAGAAGAGGAGAACCATGTGGATACATTAGCAAAGCAATCTTACTTCTGCAAGTTTTCTGGTCCGAGTTGAGGATGTATCCTTGTTTGCATCTGCAGGTGTACGAGCCAGGGGTATTGATGCAGAAGTGGGCACAGTTATGCTCCAGGAGACTGCACATGTGGGCCACTGAAAAGAAACACAGACCAGTTAAGACAATGATAATGCCTTCTCTAGCTTCCTGCACCCTGCAAACATTGCCTCAGAGCCTACCCTGGGATGGAGAGAGCAGAACCCAAGAGAAACAGGCTGCAGTCCCCACCCTCAAGGGGGTCTACAGCCTCTGGTCAAATGAGACAATTCTAGATAAATCCTATCAGCCATATCTAAATAAAGGACCATGGAGGGTAAAAGGGAAATTATGTTAAGCTAAGCCATATAAAAGGCCAATATCCAACTACAAACAGGTCGAAATTACCTACAAAAAGAGGAATTCTATGGTGCAGTTAATAATACCCAACGGGTCCGTCCAGTGTGGCTCAGTGGTTGAGCATCAAGCCATGCATCAAGAGGTCGCCGGCTTGATTCCTGGTCAGGACACATGCCCAGATTGTGGGCCCATCCCCAGTGGGGGGCATGCAGGAGGCAGCCAATCGATGTTCTCTCTCATCAATGTTTCTATCTTTCTCTCCCTTTCACTTCCTCTCTCTAAAATCAATAAAGGAAAAAATATATATAAAATAAATAACATCAATTTAAAAATAATAATAAGCCCTGGCCACTTTGGCTCAGCAGTTAGAGTGTCGGCCTGCGGTCCAGAGAGACCCGGGTTCGGTTCCCGCTAAGGGCACGTACCTCGGTTGCAGTTTGTCCCCGCCCTGGTTGGTCGTGCGGGTGGCAGCCACTCGATGTGTCCCTTTCATGTCAATGTTTCTCTCTCTCTTCTTCTCTCTCCCTCCCACTCTATCTGTACAAAAAATGGAAAAGTGTCCTCGGGTGAGGATAAAAAAATAAATAAATAAATAAATAATAATAATAATAATACCCGACGGGTGGGTAGGAAGATCAGAAAGCTTGTTGATACCAGTGGGGACTTTGGCTAAAATGTGGGTTTTCAGGAGGCTGCAGAGCAGTTAGAGGAAAAGCTCTTAGTTAAATGACGATGTGGTTAAGAATCAGCAGTTTCTCAGGACCATAAATCCCAAGAGTAGGGTGATTTTTAATACGTGGAAGTGTTATGCTAAATTTTTGGAGTAAAATAATGCATTCATATGTTCCATGTTTCCATAAGCTGTATGTCTCATTTAAAAATATTTCTGCATTTAGTTTCTGAAGTACCTCGGCCTTCAGATCCACCAGTTCTTGCATAAGTCTGTCTGGAGCTCATAAAAATTCTTACTTTTTCAATATTTTAATTTATGACTTTACTCAAAATAATGCAACGTGAACATATTTAAAACTTACCGACATCAGTATAAACAAGGACAAGTTAGGTAAGCATTTTCAAACACAAGAAAGATGACCATATGTAGGAATATATTTATAGAAGCTAAAACAAAAGAGGCTTTCAAAAGCTAAGAACAAAAGCCCTGGTCGGTTTGGCTCAGCGGTTGGAGCGTCAGCCCACAGACCAGAGTCATGGGTTCAATTCCGGTCAAGGGCACACACCTCCGTTGCAGTCTGTTCCCTGGCCCCTGGTCAGGGTTGTGCTGGAGGCAACAAATCAATGTGTCTCTCTCATATTGATGCTTCTCTCTCTCTCTTCTCCCTCGCACTCCATTTAAAGATAAATAGAATAAATAGCCTCAGGTCAGGATGAAAAAAAAAAGCTAAGAACAATCCCAGTAATCTATTGCTTAGAAAAACTCAGCTACCAATGAAATTGATGGTATGACAGGTATGTGTCTCCTTACTTCTTTTTTTTTTTTTTCATTTTATTGATTTTAGAGAGAGAGGAAGTGAGAGGGAGAAAGAGATAGAAACATCAGTGAGAGAGAACATCAATTGCCCACCTCCTGCATGCCCTTCACTGGGGATTAGGCCCACAACCTGAGCATGTGTCCTGACTCGGAATCGAACCAGTGACATTTTGGTGCATGGGTCGATGCTCAACCACTGAGCCACACCACGAGACTGTCTCCTTACTTCTAAGTAAGAAACATGGTGAGCACTATATGAACTAGGGGAGCAAAACTTCTTTATTTCATAACAATACAGTTTAAATGATCATTCTGAGTTTATGACTGTCTATGCTTAAGCTCCTAAAATACAAATAAAACACAGGTAACATTAGGAAAATTCATAAATTAAATACAATCAATAATTTTTACTCTGGTGTGAAATAAATATCTGTTTTTGTGACCATGGACAACTTTATTAACCTCTTTATATGAAATGGAGATAAAAATAGCACCTACCTCATAAGGGCCTTGTAAGAGTTAAAATAATCAGGACGGTAAAGTGCTTAGAATGGTGCCCAGTGCCCGGGGAATGAGTGCTCATGGTTGTTAACTATTACGTAGCAAAGGACAAGCACGGTGGCCTTTTGTTCTGTTTTACATACATGGGTTCATCCTACATATATTGATCCTCAACTTGGTTTTCCACTGAACATTATTCACAGATTCTATCTATACTGATATATACCATCCTTCATAGAACCTAAGATGCACCCCCATTTCAGAGATTTCTAAATGTTGGAGGGCGGGAAGAGATTAACCAAAGAATTTATATGCGTAAATGCATAACCCATGGACACAGACAATAGTGTGGTGAAGGCTAGGGGGAGGGGCGGGAGTAGGGAGGAGGGGGTTAATGGGGGGGACATCTGTAATACTTCCAACAATAAAGATAAATTTAAAAAATAATAATAAATAAATAAAAATGTGAAGACATATAGAGTTGATACTCATTTGCAAATCCTGTATTTGCGAATTCGCCTACTTGCTGAACTTTATTTGTCACCCTGAAGCCGATACTCCAGCGCGGCCACAGCCACTGGGGACAAGCTCAGAGTGACGAGGCCACACGAGACGATGCTCTGCCTTCCTGTTTCAGCGCTCAGACTGTGAGCACGTGTCCTTTCAAGGTCTACTCAGTGCTACGGCTTTCACATTTTTGTGCTTTTTGTTGGTGTTTTGCTGTTTAAAATGGCCCCACGCACAGTGCCGGAGCCTGCTGAAGTGAACTGCTAGTGGAGTGCGTCTCGTGTTCCCCAGTGCAAGGGGCCGCCATGCGTCTTACTGTCAGTTTCCTTCAGGCGTAAGTAATAGTGCTGTGGGCTCTGAGCTCAAAGTTAATAAATCAACAATAAATATTACATGACATGTCTTTAAACAGAAACACACATGAAACGAGATTATGTACTGATCAGTCGACAAACATGTGACCCCGAGTCTCGCAGAACCTGTTTTCCTCAGGAGCAACGGTTCAGTATTCGCTAATTCAGTGTTCACTGTAACTGCATAGAACGTAATTGCTGAGAATAATGAGCATCAGCTGTATATCTTAGCTGTGATCAAATACATTAGCGCTAGTTAATTGCTTTCAATTGCTTTATCCACTGGTCACATGACTCATTTTACTTGGTCACCTCTGCATCAGTTGACATTTGAGCAGGTCTCAAACTGGCTTTCACAGCACCGTGATGAACACTGTCAAACACACCTCCTTGAACGCAGGCGCCACTGATCCCCTGGGACTGGGCCCTGGTTTAACAGAGAGAGCCGAATGGCTTGGCAAGGTGGCTCACACCAGCCGTGCCTGAGAACGATTCCAACCCCTCAAACCTCAGCCCTCCGCATTGTCAGCTTTACGTTTCTGACAGCCTCGTGAGGGGAAAATCATTATTCTGTTTTTAATTTGCATTTGCTTTGCACCCCGGAAGGCTGTTCTTTTACTACTGCTGGAGTCACAGGGCACTCCGATGAACCTCCGAGTGTCACTACTTTCCCCCATGATGAGAGAAGTCTAAAGTCTAGGAAACCAGCACTTAGGAACTGGTGCAAGGCCCAAGTGATGGACCCCGTGTCCTCTTCCCACTGGACCCTGGCAGATGAAATAGGAAGATGAGACGTGAGCGGAGAAAATACCCGCTGGGCCGCAGACAGCACAGTGGTGAAGAGGATAGCCTCTGGAAATAGACTGACGCTCAGCTTTGCCGCTTCCTATGTGTGACCTTGTCTGAATTCCTTAATTTCTTTAAACCCCACCTTCTTCCCCTGTCCAATGGGGGCATTAGCAGAGCTACTGCATAGAGTTCTAGAGTGACAGCTTGTTTCTGAGGCTTGTTTGGTCTAAGAAACTGGAACCAGGAGGTCGTAACTTGCTGTAACAGAAGCAGCGCTGGATTAGAAGCCAGACTTGTGTTCCAGCTCCCCTCTACCTCACACAAGTGAAGTTCAGGTAAGTTGGGTAGCTCTCTTTGGCTTATTTCTTTGCCTGCAGAATAAAGGCATGAACAGGTCTAGGGACCCTCCGTACGCAGACTTATTGTTTTGTCTGTGCAGCACCCCCTTTCTCTAGAAACTGCCCTTCTCACTCCAACGCAAGGTAAAGGGCAGCTTATGTGTTGGTATGAGGGCTCCATGCCTGGCCGCCAATGGGTGGGCCACAGTTTGATAATCAGAGTATTTTCTTGGCACGTAGGAACTAGAACCGAGAAAAGGGGGGCTTACACCAAGGGCAAGTATGTCTGGGGGGGCTGACATGCTCTCTGCCCATGGACCACGGCGTCTATGGGGAAGCAGAGGGAAGAAGTGGGTAGAAGAGAGAACTACCAATACTCTTCTCCGCTATCCCATGAGTAATATAACGCAATCCCTTCTTTCTCAAGCTAGTTCAAGTAGAATTTCTACCACTTTCAACCAAAAGAATCCCAAACATTTTTACTAAGGTAGCATGCAAGTTTTCCATCTATAAAACTCTATGGATGAGTGTTCAGTGAGTCTCCGAGCATCGGGGCCCTGCTGCCTTGCTCTCCCGTGGGCCAGGCCTGGTGATGTGACTGACGGGAGAGGATAGCTCTGCCTCCTCTGCTGACCAGCGAGTGACCTCATTTCTCAGAAGGCCCTCTGGGTGGAAACTGGGTCAAGGCTCTGTGCTCAGAGGAAGGAACCAGTAATCAGCAGATTGCCATTGGCAGGACTGGATTTTTTAAACTAGGAAATCTGAATGTTCATAAATGTTTATTAATGAATGTAAGAATGATTAAAAGAATAATCAAAGGAGTGGTGGGGTTGACTGGGGCCCCTGAAAGGAACAATTACCGGATAGTCAAGTCAACATCTGTTGAAGTCAATCTGCTCTTCCACTTAACCCAACAGGGCCTCAAAGGGGTGCAATAAGCGGAGACTTTGCCCAGGTTGGTAGATGAAAGGTGTGTCTCAGGAACACTTTTAGGACCTTACATTGTGACTGGCCTGGGTGGGGTGAGGTGGGGCTATTAGGGTAGGAACAGCCAGCCTAGACTGATAGAGCAAGTACCAAGAGGTTAATTAAAAGCAGTCCTGCCCTGGCCGGTTTGGCTCAGCGGTTGGAGCGTCGGCCTGCGGTACAGAGAGACCCGGGTTCGGTTTCCGCTAAGGGCACGTAGTTCGGTTGCAGTTTGTCCCCGGCCCTGGTTGGTTTGTGCAGGTGGCAGCCACTCGATGTGTCCCTTCACATCGATGTTTCTCTCTCTCTCTCTTCCTCTCTCTCCCTCCCACTCTATCTAAATAAAAAATGGAAAAATGTCCTCAGGTGAGGGAAAAAAAAAAAAAAGCTGTCCTGCCCAGGTTATAATGAGTCTTCAGAAGGCTCATGATAGACAGGCATTTTTTCAGTCTCTAATTCTGTGTCCTCTCTCACTGGGTGGCAAAAGTGGTGGACCCCAGGATGTGTAGGTTTTTGGTCATCTTGTAGACAGGGCCTCAATTCACAGGACACCTGGTCTCCAAGTTTCTCTTATGGTCTCAGGGGTGGCCTGAGAATGCAATCTGAGAAGTCCCACTCCCAACCCCTGCTGTGGCTGGTATGGGAATTCACTGCCCATGGGTATAAAGCCACCACTGTGTCCAAGTTCATGTCCACAGAGCAGCGAGCGCCAGAGCCAGGACTCATGCTCTAGGGCAGTCTGGCTCCAGAGCGGAGACTCATACTCCGGCAGCGCGTTTCTGCTGTGTCTGAAGCACGTGGCTTCAGACCTTCTTCCCTGTGAAACCCTGTCCCCAGGTGCACCAAGGCCTCCACCTTCCTGCCTACCCTTCGTCAGCACTTTTCAAACTGTGGCTCATGTCTCCTATGCAAAGCACAATGCTTCAGAGAATCTGGACTCGTGTTGTTGTTGTTAAATGACATAGAAAGAAACAATGGAAAATATCATTCCTTTCCTGGTTTACTGCAGTCATCCTCACTACATGGCCAGTAAACTCCTCCTCTGTCAAATCTGTGTAATGCATAGTGGTTACGATGTAGGTTCTGAGCCAGAATGCCTGGGTTCACATAGCAACTCTGCCACTTAGAGCTGTGTGACTTTGGACAAGTTACTGAACCTCTCTGGATCTCAATGTTCTTTTCTATAAAGTGGGAATGATAAGAGCACCTATTTCACAGGTTTGTTGTGTGAATAAAATTAGTTAATATATGCTAATAGCGCAATAGTACATGCACATAGTAAAATCAATAAATCTAATGATTATTATTATTTTCTTCTATTTAAGGCTCTCCTGGAGCCCCTAGGTGAACCCAGGCTTTTTCTGAGAGAGAAACACTGATGTGAGAAAGACACATCGATCAGTTTCCTCTCACACATGCCCTGCCCCAAGGCCTGGATCGAACCTGCAACCCAGGTATGTGCTCTTGACCAGGAATCAAACCCACTACCCTTTGTTCCAAAGGCCAACTCTCTAACCACTGGGCAACACCGGCCAGGGCAGACCCAGGCATTTTTTTTATCAAAGGTCCCCAGAGCTAGGTGACTTTCCAAGGCCACCAAAGTGCAGACTTCATAGAACCAATATCCCATTTCTCTGCTATGAGAGCATCTTCTCACCAGCCCGGAGCCCTTGGGCCTGGCACTTGGAGGGTAAGAGCTCTGGAGCTGGAGAGTCTGCAATATGAATCTCCAACTCTGATACTTGAAGTTGCTTATTCTTTCTAAGCTTCAGTTCCCATTTCTGTAAAATGTGGATAATAATAGTACCTGCCTCATAGGCTCTTACAAGTATTAAATAAAATAATGTATGGAAAGTACCTAGCCCAGGACAAACTCCACTGTTATCATCAGAGTGTAGCTCAATACATGTTTAAGGAACAAATGAGACTTCCAAAACCTCAGAGATGCAACTCAAAAAAGACACTCAGCACTGTTGCCTGGAAACGGGAGCACAGGTCTTCCATGGATCTGACTGTACTCACACACAACTCGGCGCGCACTGAAGCCGGGTCCGCAGTTCACAGCACCTGCTCACACGTCTATCTCTGCAGGTACAACCCTGTGTTACAGCTTCGCTCAGTACAGACAGCTGGCAGGTGGGATCTCTTGGAGTGGAGTCTGCTTCCCCCCACCCTTCAAAGGCTTTCCACCAAGCCCTGAGGTGAACCTCACCCTCAAAGCTGGTTTACCCAGCATGGCTGGACGGTGGAGGCTGCCATCAGAAAACGCTTTCCCTTAGAAAAGGAATTTATAACCCGTGATGTGCAGAGGAGTGAAATGAGGAAGAGCTTTGGAAGCAGAACCCATCATCTGCTGGCTGTTTGTTCATGGGGAATTCACTTAACAAGTTTACTAACCTGTAGATAGGGAGCGACAGTACCGCGTTGCCTCTCCAAGTTCGCGTGAGGATCAAATGCAAAAACAGAAGGGAAAGTGCTTGATAAATATCAGTTATTGGCCCAGCTGGTGTGGCTCAGTGGGCTGAGCGTTGTCCCATGGACTGAGAGGTCCCAGTTCGATTCCCCGTCAGGGCACATGCCTGGGTTGGGGCTCCATCCCCAGTAGGGGGCGTGCAGGAGGCGGCCAATCGATGTTTCTTTCTCACATGGATGCTTCTATCTCTCTCTCCCTTTCTCTCTAAAAAATCAATAATAAAAGAAGTATATGAAAAAAGAATATCAGTTACTGGATGTTTACTGCAGAGTTGATAGAAGCCCTGGGGCCTCCTCAACCTCTGAAGACAGATGACAGGTCTGCTCAGCAGAGCCCAGCCACTCGGTGAGAGGGGAGCTGGTCTCCTGCGGGGTGGGGGTGGGGATTCACAGGCTCCAGGAACCAATGGAAAAATGAAGGGCATAATATGAATGTTTTCTTAGAGCTTCCAGATGATAACAATGCGGGGGGGGGGGGGAGCGGGGGTAGAGATTCAAATCGCCTTTCCATTTTGCTGTCATAAAGAACACAGAGAGGTTCTTCTATGGACAAGCCCACATCCTCAGACTCATCATACTACCTTTTCATTTGCAGATGAGTCCAGAGCCCTCCCGAAAGAACTCTTCCATTAACATTTCCCAAGACAAATGAATATATCCATCAAAACTGCTTTGGAACCAATTTCTTTTTCACTATTTCCAGGAAGAGGGGAACATAAATTCTGCAGAAGTCATTTAAAGTCATAAACCTTAAAAAATGTTTGCAGTGCCTTCTGCCGGGTGAAGTATTCCAGGTGACTTAGGCTCTAGCACAGTCACACTGCCCTTCTGCGGGGCCAGGGAAAATGGCATTTCTGAACATCTTCCAAGTGACATGGCTGAAAGTTCTTTTTCCTTCATGGTACTGATTTTGTACATAAATCGTTTGATTTTTTAGGTCAGTTCTCATGGAATTTTTTTTTTAAAGGCGCATCAAGAACACACCGATTTTACTCTCTGAGGCATCGGGGGGGGGGGGGGGGGGCTTGGGGGCGGGGTCTAGGCCATGTCACATTCTGAGCACTGGTCCTCGGAGGCCCAGAGGAGCAGGTTCTCGCTCCCGGAGAGTTGGAAATAAGTCTGGTCCTTCAGCTCATTCTCCACTCATGCTCAAGGGAAACAGTAGTCATTTCAAAATAGATATTTCCTTTTGTTTTCCCATCAAAGAAGCATGGCAGCTGGAGGGGACAGGGACCAATGGGGGTGGCAAAGGCAGGACTGGACACTGTTTACCAGCTGAGGAGGCAGTTTCCAGGGACTAGAGCGGAGCCTGGGTTGGCCCCACGGCCCTGCCCTCCCGGAGGAGGGACAAGACGACAGCTGCAGAAGCAGGACCTGGAGAGAGCAAGCTGACCCACTGGAGAAGCCGAGGCGGGCGGGCGGGCTGGAGGTGACTCGGAGGCGCCCAGCAAGGAAGGGAGAGAGCGACCTTGCAGAGAGTAGGGTTAGAAAGCAACAGAGGGAAGAAGATCCTTAACGTGGGAAAAAGCAGCTCAGGGTCTTGGGGAGGCCTTCCTCACAGAGAAGTGAGCTGGGAGCGGGGCACCTCCTGCCATCTTACCAGGTGGGAAGGACCATGTCTTGATCCTCCTCAGACTCTAGGCCTCTTTGTCAGTCGAGACATCCAGTGCTAGCCCCACTGTGAGGCAAATATGCTTGTATTCCACAGTATCCGAGGAGAAATTAGGCCATTATTTTCGCCCTCCTATTTCCATCCCTACTCCAACTCATGAATTCCAACTTGGGGAATGCCAAGACAGTTCAATGTGCTGGAGAAAAACTTCACCTGTCTACTCTGACTCATTCTGCAGTTTGGGTTTAAATGTCCCCGCCCCAGGGAAGTCTCCCTGCGCACCTGGACTAGGCCAGGTCCTGCCTTGAATCCTTCCTCCATTACACTGTTATAATTGCAGTTATTTACTTATTTGTGCAATTTTGTGCTTAACATCTGTCTCCTGCACCAGAATATCAATGTCCCCAAATGCCACGTGTATCTTGGCCTGTGCTGAACACCCCTTGCAGGCACAGTGTCTGGGACGAGGCAGCACAAAATGAACCCTGGAAGATGAATAAATAAATCTGAATAGAACCCTGGAAGATGAATAAATAGATTTGAATGAAGCCCTGGAAGAACCACAGGGGCAGGACTTACTGCACAACTTGTTCTGGAACACCGAGGTCAGCGACTCCATCTGGCTGAAGTTGGCCACCAGGAAGACATGGTCCTCGTGAGGTTCGCTCCCGATGGCCTTCAGCGTGTTGAGGTCCACCTGGCCCACGCCAATGGCAAAGATCAGGATGCCTGTGTCCCGTGCCTTTGCAGCCACCTCAGCCACAGAGTCCTGTGGTCTCCCATCCGTCACAATCATTATGACCCGCGGCACATTCTCCCTCAGGGGCCGGGCCCCCTCTGCTTCTGAGAAAGCGATGTTTAGAGCATACTGGATGGCCAGCCCCGTCATGGTGCCCGTGGACAGGTGCCTCATCCTCTTGACAGCACGCTCCACCTCGGACTTCCTCTTGAAGGTCTTCAGGGAGAACTCATTCTTCACGGTGCTGCCATACTGGAGCAGGCCCACCCTGGTGATGTCAGGGCCAATGTCCAAGAACTGTAAGATGTCCATGATGAACTCCTTGACCTTGGCATAGTCGTGGGTGTTGACACTGCGGGAGCTGTCAATGATGAAGACCAGGTCTGCCCGCTTGTTTTCACAGGAGCTCTCTGGAGAAAGAGGAGAGGTCAAATGCATTAGAAGACTGTGAGGATGCAGTGCAAGTTGGCTATTGTTGGAAATCACAGGGCTCAGGATCACCTTTCTTTTTTTTTTTTTTATCATCCTCACCCAAGGACATTTTCCATTCTTTATTCAGGTAGAGTGGGAGGGAGAGAGAGGAACAGAGAGAGAGAGAAACATCGACGTGAAAGGGACACACATCGAGTGGTCGCCACCCGCACAACCGACCAGGGCCGGGGACAAACTGCAATCGAGGTACGTGCCCTTAGCGGGAACTGAACCCGGGTCTCTCTGGACCGCAGGCCGACGCTCTAACAGCTGAGCCAAACCGGCAAGGGCAGGATCACCTTTCAAATCTCCAACCTTCATCGATTTTTCTTCACACTTGGTAAAGTTGTAAGGATGTACGTGGAAGTAGCACATGCACGTGCATGACTGGGTGATCATGAGTATTGACTACAAACAAATACTAGTGCTTTTCCTAAGATGAATGAACACTTTAGTTTCTAGAAAGTCAACAGTACAGTTTTCAGGTGGTCAAACACCTGATCAGGGTCAAAATGATTTCATTATTTACTGCATACTATAGAAGTTTGCCAAGATACTGCAGGGCATGTGGAAGAAGCCACTTCTAGGAGCTACTGAACTAATAGAACAAGTGAAAGAATAGCTAGGATGACACCATGGTCCGGACACCGGATGTGCAGAGAACAGGGATGTTAGTGCTGGGGTCAAGGAGCTAGGACGTGAGCTGGCTTACGGATGCGGTGTTTGAACTGAGAGAAGGCACACGTGGAGAGAGTGGGTAACAGAATAAATGCTGAAGGAACTGCTAGGAGTCACAGGTAGGAATTAAGTTGAAGAAGTAGCCTAAAGCCAGTTATAAAAGGCCTTAAAATTCAGACTGAGAATTTGCACATGATGCCACAAGTGGTGGACATAATACAATTAGCATCATATGATGTAACCTATCTCTTCTGTAGAGGTTATATAATAAAAAGTCCATTGAGTGTGGTGGTGGTTTGCAAGGTGGGTGATCCAGACCATTGTTGTACTAATCTGGCTAAGAGGAGGACTCGGTCTCAATCAGGGCAACAGTGGAAATGGATAAGGGACCCAGCCCAGAAGCATTTCAACAAAGGACATGGTTAAATTGGGAAAAGGCAAATGTTAAGTCTCTCTCTTATCGCCACAACCACCATACATTTATTCCTCAAGCACTCAAGTACTTGGCCTGAGTCCACAGATGGAACTCACTGTGCTCTGGGAAAAGGATGAAGCCGCAGATGCCAGAAGCTGGGCATTCCTGCTGGAATTTCTCAGATGTTCTGAGCTACTGCCTCCGGCCAGGGGGAGTCCCTCCTCCCTTCCCCAGACTTTGCAGCTAAATCCACATTTGATAGGGATTAGAAAAGGAATCCCAAATGCCACAGCTGCAAGAGAGAGAGAGAAAGCCAACACTGAAACAGTGAACCCAGTCATTAAGATGAGAAACAAGAAAGGGCCATGCGGTCATCCCATCCAGGCCTGCTTGCCAAACCATGAGTCACCTGAGCGCTTGCACACACACCTCGTCCACTGCAGCCTCACAAGTTAACAAGTTTAGGGGAGGAAGCACCCCCAAACACCAATATCCTGGCAGGAAATCCACTCTCTGCCACCCCCACGTGGGGCACTGGTGGCTGCGTGAATTTAAGGTGAGATTCTCAGACCGCAGGCCCCAGAAACTGCTTTGAGGACCCTGGGATAAGATCAACAGAAAACCTGGCATTTGCAGGAAGTTTTAAAATCTTTTTTCCAGAGGGCTTTTACCACCACGATCTCATTTGATTTGCAAAGCTAGTTCCTGAGAAAAGAGCTATGAGTATAACACCCATTCGACAGATGAGAAAGTGAAGGCGCTGAGAGTTTGAAAACCTCTTAGAATTTACAAAAAGAAAAACTATATGGAAACAACACTAATGCCCACCTCATTGGGTGGTTGTGAGAATTTAAGAAAACAATCCAACCCAGCCCTGAGCCCTGGGGGCTGGACCCACCCTGAGAGGGACCTAGAAGCGTGCCTTTTTCTAATTCTCAGCAAGGTGCCTATGGTCTAGCACGTGGCCCCGGGTTGGAGCACTAATGACAGACCACAGGTCCCAATGGAGAAGACAAGGTCCAGGAGCAAGTGACCCCTTTCGAGGAGCTTCACCTGCCCCACCCTTGATGTCTCCCACCTTTGATGTGTGAACTTACTTCGGGGAGAGCGTAGCCCAGTGATCTCCACCTGCTGAGAACCGGAACCAGGCTCAGACTGTGCCACGGAGCAGGATATTCATGGAAGGCTCTTGGGAAGGGAGGGAGGCCGACAGTGGGCTGTTCCCCTGCGAACTCTATTCCTCTTTGGAAATAGGGAGTGAATCCTCCTGGGGCTGGATTCTTACTGTGGGTTTTAGTTGTGGTATTAACACCCCACCAAGCACACAATCAATTCACAGGGAAGCCTGGAAAATCCATGGGGAATTGTGTGCTAAATGGATTAGCTCCTGTTAAAACAAATGAGCGGTTTTCACAATGCCTGGACTTTTACAAAAATACCACAAAGGTTCAGAATGTTGTTGGAGGTTACAAGGGAGCTGTGACGGTGAGTCCTGGCAGCCCAAGCGACCAAGTTTTCTTCAAGACATCTCCGCAGGTCCCTTGAGGGCTCGCCACCACAGTCTCACAGCTCGTCTTTCAAAGGGCCAATTCAGGGGTTCTCAAACTTGCCGGGCCTCTCAATTCCCTGGAGGACTCCTTAAAAACTAAGACCAGTGGGCCACACCCCCAGGGTTTCTGACTGCGTAGGTTTAGGGTGGTACCTGAAATTTGCGTTTCTAGGTTGCTCCAGGGACCACACTCAGAAACAGCAGCTTAGGGACTAAAGGGCTCTTAAGGGGGAAGGGGGGTCTGGCAAGTCGTGACCCCACTGTCTCATTGCGAATTCCCCAAAGTGGGAAAGAGTCTCATCTACCTGTGGAGCCACGCAGTGGGGAGTACATTAAGTTGTCAGTCAATGTTGGTGGAATTAAACGAGGTTCAGGGACTCATAGACTAATACAGTCTTTAGAGACAGAGGGATCAAATTGAGTCTAAGTCACCCACTTTCCAGAAGGGGAAACAGGTTCAGAGAGGTGACTATGTCCACGAGGCCTTATGGTTCAGTAGGGTCAAACCTGGGACTATACTGGTGTTTATGGCAGGTACCTTGGAAAATTCTCAGTACAACGTGGCCTTTCAGCACAAGCTTTGTGAACACTTGGGGGTGTTCTGAAGTATTTGCTGGGACGAGCACAATAGCCTCTTCACATGGGGACTGCTGAGAGATGTTGCTAGAAAATGACTAGATAAATGAACACTTCAGAGTCTAGAAAGTAGTCAATAGTTTTCAGGTGGCCAAACACCTGATCAGGGTCAGGTGTGTGTCCCGTTCACACACTGGTTCCGACAAGCAGCAGCCCTGTGTCCTTAGCCTGGGAGCGCACACAACGGTCTCCCTTCTGGACTCTCCCAACAGACTTTCAACAGCCGTTGGAAGAGGTTTGTGAGCACATCGTGAAATGTCATCCTTCAGACCCTAGGTGACAGTCTGGACCTTGTCAGCAGCACGACCAATACCATCAGCTTGACTCCAAAGCCCACGTGCTGGCCAAACTAGTGTCTCTTGTCCTTGCAGTGAAGGTGAACCTGCGCCAGGACAATTTCCAGCAAAATCCCCACCACAGCGGGACTACAGTGTGCAACGTTGGAACGATTTCCTCCTCTTGGGGTTGCTGATTTGTCGCTAATCAGCTTCCCTTGCTCCAGCTAAATTCAATCATGACCAGCCCGGCCGGTGTGGCTCAGCGGTTAAGTGTCAACCCATGCATCAAGAGGTCGCCGGTTCGATCCTGGTCAGGGCACATGCCCAGGTTGTGGGCCCCATCCCCAGTGGGGGGCATGCAGGAGGCAGCCAATCGATGTTCTCTCTCATTGATGTTTCTATCTCTCTCTCCCTCTCCCTTCCTCTCTCTCTATAAAAGAAAAAAAATTCAATCATGACCATGTAATTGTACAGCAAATATTTGGTGCTATCTGCCTGGGAAGATCCAGGTCTGGAGAAGGAAGTGATATGAATCTCTAAGCTAAGGGTAAAATAACGTCATCCAGAGGCGGAGAGGGAGCTCTGACACGCTCAGTGAAGCGCAGTTGAGTCCTACGATCTCAGTGCAAGTCTAGCCTCTGCCACTTTCTGTCCATGTGGTCTGGAACCTCTCCTTAGCCTCCCTGCCCGCAGTCTCCTCTTCTGGGAAATGGGGGTAATAATATCTCACAGGGCTGTTGTAAGACTCAAAAGAGAATATAATAATAATTTATAGCTACTGTGTGTTGAGAACTTAATAAGTACTGTAAACTAACTAATTTGTCAATTTTTAAACATACACCTTCAGAAAACCTATCTTATTATATAACGGACTTTTGGCTTTAATGGACACCCTCATTAGTCCATTATATTGAGGTTTTACTGCATAATGATTTCCTGTGGGAGTAAACTGGGGGAGCAGGGGGGTGGGTAAAGGACAGAGAAAAAATAGCAGGATCAGTGGACTGAAAGTCCAGATAAGGTCACAGGATTACTGAAGTTGGAAAACTAGAAGGTATCAGAAGGGTGAGCTGGGAGAGGGGAGTTTTAACTCAGGTTTGACAGGCTGCAGTTATATCGGAGGAAAGTCAAAGCTATTGAGGGATCGTTCAGATGGGCATTGAAATCACCAAGAATGATGACAAGAATAATGTTGGAGAAAGTGGCAGTGAGCCCAGAGCTAACACGGTTCTAGGAATAATCACAGAGTGTTTTAAATTTCCCAACAATGACCAGAAACACAATGAAGCAGATGAAAATGTCATAAAGGGACAGAGAAAAATTATTTCATCGGAAGTTTCAAAGGGACACTAGGGAGTAAAAGGAAGGCTGTTTTATGATGAG